GCTGAACTGTTTGTTGTGCGCGATCTGCGTGAAAGGGGTTGCCCACTTCGCGCGGATCGGTTCCCCCCCCTTCGTCTGGATTATTCGGCACCAGGGGGGTGCCGAATAACCCGGATGCCCCTGCGCGGTGGCCGAATGTGGAGCTCCTGTTGGGCGCGACCCGTGCGAGGCATGTGCCGAAATTGGCGGGGGGGGGGCCCATGCGACCCATTGGCGCCATAAACCGTATCTCCAGCGTGCGTCCAAGAACCTTCAAAACGGCCTACATACAGCTAGAAGTGGCCAGTGGGCTTTCCAATAATGCCCCCGAGAAGCTGAAGCTATCGAATTTGAAACTTTGCCAGCGTGGCCCAACATGGTTTTCTGGCCTTCGATGCACCTCGGTTTGGCCTCAGATGTATGATCTGGATGAGGGGCGTGGGGCGGCCTTCGATGCGCCGTGGTTTGGCTATGGTTGCTTGTGCTGCGGAGCCAGACTCTGGCACCCCTCTTCTTTGTCAGTTCCTTATCTGGTTTTCGGGCGGATCCAGAGACGCGTAAGAAGTGTTGAAGAAGCTTTCTAAACTCCCTAGCACGTCGCCTGGATCCACCAGCGTCAGTGCCGCAGGTCTCATCGCCAATCCCGGCGGAGCTTCAGACTCGCCTCTTGCACTCCTCGTTGGCAACTTGTGATGCGAGTTTTTTGGGTGCGGCTGGAACCCAAGCGCGCGCGAAGCGCGCGCGTGGTTCTAGCCGAGTATCCGCAGGGAGCATTTCCGTATTCATTTTGTCTCAAGGCGCGGCCTTTTGTGGGTGCTTTTTACTGGTTGAGCTTAGCAGCCTGTTGCGGTTTTCCGCGGCATTGTCATGGCCATTGAGCGCTGCAGAGGACGGGATGAGTTCTGCAATTGAGGGCGCCGCAGAGGCAGGGATGGGTCTTTTGGCGCGCAGCCAGCATGAGGAATCTTTCTGACTGGAAGCTTGAGATGGGGCCGAATGAGCTACCTGATGAAGTGCGCGAAGCCATCCGAGCACGGGGTTCAAGAGCACGGGCTACTTTTGCGACGGCGTCGTAAAATGGTTTCGGCAAACTGAACTGGCCGTTAACGTGGAAGTCGATTCCGAGCACAGTTGTTTTTCGCTTACAGTCGCGAATCAAATGCAGAAGAGGATCTCGGAAAGTTCGGCATGACCCTCGCTCGCGTGGTCAACGGTGTCGACGTCTTTTCGAAACCCATCGAGCACGCGGCTGAGTGTGATGGCTGAGTTGAAGTCGCCTGTATGCTTGCTTTGACAGTACGTTCTCGCCGATTGGTGCATTGAAAAGTATCCGCAAGGAACATCCGTTGATGCTTTTAGCAGCAAGATGGAATCGGGGTCTTCGAGTTAGAACCCAGGGGCCACTTCCCCAGGAGGAGGAGGAGGAGGAGGAATGCGGGGAGAGGGAAGAGGGGTCTTTGATCGCCCAGCGTCGTCGCCGCGTGCAACACCGCCCTCTCTGGGGGTCAAGCCCCCCTCGAGCACTTTGCGTGCCCGTGCGCACGCGCCCGAGCGGCCCAGATCACGGCGTTGCCATCCACTCCGGGCGAGCTCCCCCCCCCCCCCCTTTCTCGCAGGACGAGGTCCTCTGCCCTCCCCGGAGGCCGTCCCCTCCCCGCCCCTCGCACGGAGCCCTGGCCGAGTTCCGCTCGGAGCCCGGCCCTGGGCCCCTCCAGGGGCCTTGGCGAGTTGATGCAGCGGCGGTCGGCCGCGGCGGCGGAACATGAAGATGCTTCCTCCCCAGGCCCCAGTGAAGCCTTTCGTGCGGCACGTCATCATCAAGGATTGCGCCCCGTGGCTGCTCGCGGTCGCGCGCCCCCCCACTCGCAGAGGAGGGGGGGAAGGACAGAATCGCGAGCAGGAGGACGATGGGAATGGGAACAAGGGCGAGGAGGCCGGGGGGGAGGGCGAGGATGGGTAGGAGGAGCACGAACACGAAACGGAGGATGGACAGGAGGGCGAAGCGAACGGGGAGAGGGGGCCTTCATTAGGAAGGGGGGTATGTGGAAGAGATGGGGGGGATGGGGCTGGAGTAGAGTGAGGGGTGATGGAGAAGAGGAGGAGGAGGGGGAGGCGGATGAGGAGGATGAGGAGAGGAAGAGGATAATGATGATGATGATGATGATGATGATGATGATGATGATGATGATGATGATGATGATGATGAGGAGGAGGAGGAGGAGGAGGAGGAGAAGGAACAATAATAAGAGTACAGACGATTCAGAATAAGCATACTGATATTATTATGAATAAGAATCGTAAGACGCATACTAGGAGTAGTATTGACGAGAATAGGAATACCAATGCTAACAATAGTAATACTAATACCAGCCGTAATAATGATAGTAATACTAATACCACCTGTATGTAGGTGCTCTCTAATAAGAACAAGCCGTAGAAACACTAATAGCAGTACTGCCAATACTAACGCTTATACGACTACGCATGATATTCGTAATGCTAGTGCGAGTAATCGTAGTATCAACGAATACGAATGCGAGTACTATTTCGAATAATGCTACGGTTCATGAAACTTAGACGACCAAGCCTGAACATATTAAGAATAACACCAATACTATTAGTACTAGTACTAATCTTAATGTTAGTGCTAATACTACGGATACTAGCAACAAGAGCACTTTGTCACAATAATGTTAATACGGCCAACATCGAGACAGCACATCACACGAACAAGACCACTACTACTACTACTACTACTACTGCTGCTGCTACTACTACTACTACTACCACTACTACTACTACTACTTCTACTACTACTACTACTACTACTACTACTACTTCTACTTCTACTACTACCTACCTATCTACCCACCTACCTATCTACCGACCTACCTACCGACCTACCTACCTACCTATTCACCTACCTGCCTACCTACCTGCCTGCCGACCTACCTTCGTACTACTATTACTTTTACTATTATTGATACTACTACTTCTTCTTCTACTACTACTATTACTACTACTACTACTACTACTACTACTACTACTACTACTACTACTACTACTACTACTACTACTACTACTACTACGACTACCTCTACTACTACGACTACTACGATTGTCTTACATAGCAATCGTAGTAATTCCAATCAGAGTAAGAAGCAGGAGAAGAAGACGAATTGGTGGCGGTCTTCTGGGATCACTCTTGGGCCGTCATGGGGACCTCGTAGGCCGTCTTGACGCAATCTTGGACCGTCGCCCGTCTTGGGGCTCTTTGGAGGCTCAGGAGAGCCCCCTGGTGCGTTGACGAGCTGATACCCCCCTCGGGTCCCTCACCGACCCTCACTTCCAAGCCCCCCCCGTCTAATGAGTTGTTTTGGCCATGGGGGAGGGGGGAAGGCAAGCTAGGTGCGCTAACGTCACATCTGACGTCCTACCCCTCCCTCCCATCCCTTACCATGGCGTAGATCTCCTAACTATTCGCACAATCGGATGTCGAGCAGGGCAGTGATCCCAAGAGGGTGCGCGATGGATGGGAAAACATGGCGTAGAAGTGCACGGCAGATCATAGTATGTCATAGCATGGCGTGACATTGTGAGTGAAGCTTGCATCACGAAGCATAGCAAAGCAAAGCATGGCATCGCACAGCGGTGCACAACACAGCATCGCATTGCATGCCGTGGCATGGCACCAGATGACTTGGAGGGTAAGTGGCCCGTCTACGAGAGGACAGGGCCTGTCGTGAATGCCGGCTCCATGTCCTCCGCAACCATGCCTGCCCCCTGTGGGGGCTTTTGAATGCCAAGTGCCGTCTGGAAGTGTGGGAGGGAGGCCAGCGCTGCAGCGGAGCACGATTTTGAAATACCGAAGCGCGGAAACGGGGGCCGCGCTGCAGCGGGAGCACCGTTTTGGAAGAAGCAGTAACGATCGGATTGAAGAACACATAAGAAAACCCAAACATGAGTTATTGTGCGTCAGAAGCAATACGCAGAGAGGATGGGGGACTCTCCGAACAGAGTCAGGGGAGAGACGAGAGTAGTACTCATACTGTGTAATTGTAGAGGGGGACAGCCAATCATCTCACACGCCTTCTCACCCCCTGGCAAGCGAGGGTCGTCGGACTCCCCCCTGTCATTCCCCCTCCTTTTGCTCTCCTTCCTTCTTCGCCTCCTCTTCTGCCTCCGCTGCTTCCTCCTCCCACTCCTCCCCTACAGCCTCCCTCTCTCGTCCTTTTCTCCCTCCGTCCTCCTTGTTCTCCTCTTTTCCCTCCTCTGCTTCCTCCTTTTTTCCCTCCTCCTCCGCCTCCTCTTCTTCCTCCTCCTCCCTCTCCTCCCCCCCCCTCCTCCGTCTCCTCCTCCTCCTCCTTTCTCTCCTCCCCTTCCTCCGTCGTCCTCTCTCCTTACTTCCCTCCTCCTCCTCCTCCTCCTTCCCGTCCCTTCCCCATCCGCGCGTGCTGTGGCGGAGAGGACGGAGGGAGGGTGGGAGGGATGCAAGGAGGAGGAGGAGGAGGAGGAAGAGGAGGAGAGGAGGCGAGGTCTGCTGGAAGTTGTGGGATGTTTGCGCAGCAACTGGGCTGGTCTGCCCGACACACGCTCCTTCTGCCTCAGACCGTCATGATTGTTGCCCCGTCTCCTTCCTGCTCGTTGCCTGTGCTTCAGGGGACGATGTTTCACCAGTGGTACACCGCCTGGCGCTTCCCTAGCCCCACAAGGCGCTGTGCAGGGTGTGGGCTGGATTGTGGGGACGGGGTATTACACATCCCCGAATGTTTGTTGCCGATCTTATCGGCATTGCCTTGCCCATGCCCCCTTTCCCTTTCCTCTTCGGGGCTGGACGGGTAAAAGTACGTTGTTTTTTTGAAAATGGTCTCTTGTTTGATTTAATGTGAATCCGTATCTGATGATGCGGGCTCTGTGTAATACCACTCGCAGGAGCTCGTGATCCCCCTCATTCTCCGTGGCCATTTTCGCTCAAGCCGAACTTGGCACACTCGTAGACATGGGATGATGCGTCTTTGTGCATGGCTGACGGCGCGTTCCCTGAGCGTGCCAGCGGGGCCCCCGACGCGTCGCCGGTTCTGGTGATTCGTGCCAAGCGTCTCGTTGCAGACGGTAGCACGCTTTTGGAGCCTGGCGTGGCCGTCGTGCAGAATGGCCTGCTCACATGCGTTGCCTCCGCTGGGAGAGGGGAGCCCGCCGAGGTGTGTGCGGCCATCGCCAATGGCGCGCAGGTTCTCGAGACGGAGCTTCTGGTGCCTGGTTTCATTGACATCCACACGCACGGCATTGGTGGCAGCGACGAGATTCGCGATTTCTGGCGGCACCCCGAGGTCACGCAGTCCAAGGTTGTGCGGTACGGCACCACCTCGCTTCTAGCCACAATGATTTTCCCTGCGAGTGGACCCAGCATCCCGGCGAAGAATGAGGTGTGCGCAGGGACCAATGCCAAGGCAAAGCTGAAGTTCTGTGGTTGGTGCGCCGCCGATGATGGTTGTGTTTGTACAGTTGCAGGCCCACGTATGGCTGAGGACGTGTTGGAGATTGCGTCGACGCTGAAGTCGATAATTGGGCAGGTCGGCCATGGAGCGGTGCTGGAGGGTATTCATGCTGAGGGCCCGATCGTGGAGTCTCTTGGTGGACTGCCACTTGGCGATGCGGAGATGTCGCTTAATGCGTTCCAAAAGTTGTTGGACCTGCTCGGGCCTGCGCTCAAGATTATGACCATTGCCCCATCATGTGAGGCTCGTTCTACAACACCTTTTGAACGCATGGAGCTACTCCTCAGTCGAGGCGTGCGGCCCGCGCTTGGCCACGACACCAGCTGCAGCCTGGAGGAAATCGCTGGCGCATTGAGAGTGGCCGCTGCTCACCACACTGTGCTGCATGTGACGCATACTTTCAACGTGCAGCGCTTCCATCACCGGGAGTGCGGACTGGCAAATGTGGCGCTACTGCCACGTTTTCCCCGTCTTCCAGTCTTCGAGGGTGTCACGCCACCGACCATCGAGCTCATCGGGGACGGCGTCCATGCGGCATTGCCTGTGCTGCAGCTCGCCCTTGCCAGCAAGCCCACGGGCACCGCATGCTTCATCACCGACGGTATATCCGAACCCGTGCTGGGCAAGGAATCCAAGTACGCGGACAGGGTTGCTACAGTTGAACGTGATGCGAACGGAGGGATTGGTGTATATTCCGTGGGCGCCGACAGCGGTAAGAAGTTGCTCGTCGGGAGTTGCATCATGATTCTCGATGCCTTTCGGACAGCGGTCCAGGTGCTCGACGTCGGTTTGTGCCGTGCCGTGGACCTCTGTTGCTGCACGCCCGCGGCGGTGGCGAGGCTCCCGCACACGGGCTCGTTGGCACCCAGGAGGCGAGCCGATCTCGTGCTGCTGGACGGCGACCTTGATGTGTGCAAAGTGTTTGTCGCTGGCAGACTGGCATACTCTCGCCGCGACTCTGGGTGATTCTGGCCTTCGAGCGTGATATGCATCGTTGGCAAAAGGTCAGACTTCCCGCGGACGTTCCTTCGTCTCCTCCTCTACGAGGGAGCGTGCGGTTGCCGCCATTGGAGCCTGCACCCAGCAGTTCAGCTGAAAGCCTCCTTAGCTCAGTGCAGTATTCGGGGTTTCCTCTGGTGTGCTGATTTCGTCTGGGTGACGCTGAGAAATGATACTATACCCTGTTATTGCAAAATTCCCTCCTCTTTGCTCTGCTGCTGCTCTTCTTCCTCCTTCCCCCATTAACAATGAACGAAGATGAGATCGGCGCGTGGACCCTGATCACTGCAAGCAAGGATCATTCAGTGCAGGCAGCGAATCATAAAGGGAACCAATGTCGAAAACTATAACTGTAATTCGGATTCTCGTTATAACTTAGATTTTAGCTATACCTTCACCTGTAATCCGTCTATCACTTTTTATATTAGCCAGCGTGGACCCCAGGCAGTGCACTTCTAGCAATATATGTTGTGCAACCTCTTAGGAACAATATATGTGGTGCAATCTACGTGGTGCAGTCCAAGACGTACAATTTATGTTGTGCACCCTATGTTTTGGCAATCCATGTTGTGCCACCTTTTTGGAGCAATCTATGTGGTGCAATCTATGTGATGCAATTAATTTATTTTCGCAGTGAGTTATCCACTCCACTGCTCGCGCAAACATCCCACCCACCCACCCGCAACTTGGTTTGCAAAATCTCTTAAGACCGTGACGGTGGGTACCACATGGCACTTGGCAACGACAGCGACGCCGACGACGAAAGCGACAACGACGACGACGCCGCCGACAACGACTACGACGACACCGACGATGTCTCCAACGACTTCGACGGCGCCGACAACGACGACGACGACGACACCGACGACGACGACGCAGACGCCGCCGACGACGACGACGATGACAACGACGACGACGATGACGACGCCGACGACTACGACAACGACGACACCGACGACGACGACGTCAACGACGCCGACGACGACGACGACGAAGACGACGACGATGCCGACGCCGACGACGACGACGAAGACGACGACGACGTCGCCAACGAAGGCGACGACGAGGGAGGAGGAAGGACGACGACGGCGACAACGACGACAGCGACGACAACGACGAGGGAGGAGGGAGGACGGCGACGACGCGAACGACGAAGAAGGAGGAAGGACGGCGACGCCGACGACGACAACGACGAGGGAGGAGGGAAGACGACGACGACGACAACGACGACGACGACGACGGCGACGAAATAGGAGGGACGACGACGAGACGCCGACGACGGACGACGACGACGACGAGGGAGGAGGAGGAAGGACGACCACGGCGACAACGACGACGGAAGCGACCACGACGCCAAAGAGGACGACGACGACGAACACGAGGAAAGACAGAAGACGACGTAGGCGACGACGACGACGACGCGGGAGGAGGGAGGACGGCGACGACGACGACGACGACGCAAGAGCGCGCGCGCACGCTTTTGTTGAAAATCCGTGTTGCGAAACCTTGTGTTTTTGTAGGTTTGTTGGACACACGATTTTGAACTCCTTCCGAAACACATGGGTTTTGAAGGATTTAGGCGCGCGCGCGCGACGACGCGCGCGTCTGCACTTCGTCCCATTTTTTGCAGAGGGTTCTCGCGACCGCACACGCGCAAGGGCGTTCGACAGATTTCGGCATGCGCGCGCGCGAAGCCCGTCTGGTAGCATTTTGTGAAAATCTTGAACAGCCGATGGTTCTCTTGAGATTTCGCAAGAGCTCGCGCGTAAGTTTTTTAGCAAATCAGTGTTGCGAAACCCTGTGCTTTTGTATGTTTTTCGGCAACTCGATTGCGAAATCCTTCCGACACTGAGCGTTTGTTGGAGGATTTCGGCATGCGCGCGCGACGACGCGCGCGTGTGCATTTCGTCTTTTTTTGCCAGGGATTCGTGAACAAGTCTTATGTTACAACAAGACATGTCCCCGCGTATGTTTTTTTATATATATAAAAAGGGAGCTTCAGGGGGACCGATCCCGGCCCCCTTGCGATAGTGTAACTTCATATTTAGGATGGACATGTGGCCATAATCATGTATGATTTACACACCCGAAAAGGGGGGGATAACGCCAGGGGGGGGTAGAGTCTATTCTTGTCTTAGAAAGAAGAATTCACTCGTGGAGCTCGCATTTGTCAATTCCACTGCTCGCGTAATCATCCCATCCACCCACCCGCAATTTGTTTTGCCAAACCCGTGCGGCGGCGATTGCGATCAGTGCTTGGTGTTGTCTGGTGCATCTCTGTGGCCACGCTAGCCCGCGCATGCTCGCGCGCGCAGCGGCCAGCTAGTCTGGCGCGACCAACGCGGCCGTGGTGGGGCTCTTCCCAGCGGGCACTTCACTGCAAGTCGACGACGTGGGCGGCGCGGTATCATGGCAACGTCGATAACGGTAGACGCGATGATGATGGTAGCGATGCTGGCGACGACGATGGCAGCGACGACGGCAAGGCCAGCGACGGCGCCGATGCTGATCACGCCGGCGACGATGACGGCGCCCTCGCGTCGGTGATGAAAGCTTGGGGAGGGAGTTCGACATGTGCGTGCGGCCGGCGCGCAAGAGTGGCCTGCATGGTATGTTTTTGGCACGGATCGTGCCCCCTCCCCTCAACACGCGCGTAGTTGCGTTCGAATTTTATTGACATGCGGCGCGAGAAGCCTTTCAGGCAGAATTGAATGAAGATGTTTTAAAACCTTGAGGTTTTTTGAAACCTTGAGGTTTTCTGAAGAATCCACAAAAGCGCGAGCGCAGGTCTTTTTTGAGCACTAGCGTTGCAAAAACATGTGTGTGTTTTTATGTATGTTTTCGGGGCATTCGGTTTTGCAGTCCTAACGAACCATAGATTTTTGAAGGATTTTGGCGTGCGCGCGCGACGACGCGCGCGTGCGCAGTTCGGCCCGTTTTTTGCAAGGGATTCTGGGGAACTTGCAAGAATGAGCAATCTTGTTGCGGCATCGCGTTTTTCTTTACACTGTTTAAAAGCATTCGAATTTGAAATCCTGGCAAAACCCATGGCTTCGAAGGATTTCGGCATGCGCTCGCGACGGTGCGCGCGCGTGTGCGTTTTTTTTGTTTGCGAGGGGTTTTTGAACATGGATGGTTTTCGATAAACGAGTGTGCGCGCATAATGTTTTTTTCCAGAGGAAGAGGGGGGGGGTACCAATACAGGCCTGCCTGTGATGGTCTGGGTTCATATTTGGGATGGACGATGTGGCAGACTCGTATGTACTTTTCAATACGAGAAGGGGAGCCGTTAATTCAGGGAGGTGGGGCAGATCCGAATATGTGTTCAAACCGGGGGGTCTATGCGGCGACGGGGCGGCGACGGCGACCACGGAAACGCCAGACCGACACCCAGGCCCAGACGACGAGCGGCGACGAGGTGGCGAAGGGGCGGCGGCGACGGGGCGGCGACGGCGACCACGGAGCCGCCAGACCGACATCCAGGCCCA